GAACGTGAGGGCTTTGGCTTGCTCGTAGCCGTATGCGGAGATGTAGCGGCGCTGCGGAAGTCGCGATACGGCAGGGGCTAGGTGTCGTGTGCGGCGCAGACATGACTGCGCTAGTCGCGGAGACGGCGAGATGAGTTTGGTAGCCATTGTGAGTGGCGTAGACACTATGGAAGTGATGTGAATTGGAAGCCTGCGGAGCTCATGGAAGATGTTTTGGAAAGACGGAGCTATGACGTTTGCTAAAGCCGAGGTTTGGTGGAGCAATGGAGCTCATAACACGCATCACTTTCGACAGTACATACAGTGCATGTCTGTAACAATTCTTGATGCGCGCAGGTTTTGACGGGATGAATTCACATTCTACATGCTAAGATAGCGCGGGTTCCGCCTCGCCTTCCGCCCAAGTCTCTAGATGCCAGATGGTGCCATGATCCACTGTTTCTCATAAGCTCGCAAGAATACTCGCATCAGGCAACGATGCGCCACAGCCTGCGCCATAAACTACGTACGAAGAAGCAATGGTAGACATTCACATGCAAGACGGCCCAAGAGGCGCTTCGTGAAGGTTCCCGCCAGCTGGGCATCTAGACGCCACTAGCACCGCCCCGCGTACGTCATCGGCCATGCGTATTGCTAGGCTGCGCCCTCCTTGAACTGGCAGGTTGCTGCATACCCCTCTTGCTACAAATAGACCCTCTCGCCAACACACCCTGTCCACTGCATCACTCAAAGACTCACTACACCCCTCAACCACTATACCACTACATTCAAATCCCTTCTAAGACACCCACCTTACACACACATCAACATGGCTGCCACTGTCAACGTCGAGAACATCTCCACCAAGACCAGCGAGGATGAGATCAAGAGCTTCTTCTCTTTCTGCGGAAAGATCCAGTCGCTCAGCGTAAAGCCTTCAGGCGACGACACCCAGTCTGCCTCGGTCACCTTCGAGAAGGCCGCCGCCGCAAAGACCGCCCTCCTCCTTGACAACACACAGCTCGGCCACAACTCGGTCCAGGTCACGTCCGCTAAGAGCATCGACGAGATTGCCGGCGAGAAGTCCGCCTCCGCCGACGATGCCAAGGACGGTGACCACCACATCGAGCAGGAGCAGAAGCCCCGCGCACGCATCATCGCCGAGTACCTCGCCCACGGCTATGCTATTTCCGACACCGCCATCGAGAAGGCCCTCGCCGCAGACAAGCAGAACGGCTACAGCACCAAGTTCATGAACGTCCTCAACAACTTCGACCAGAAGACTCAGGCTACACAGAAGGCGCAGGTCGTCGACCAGAAGTTGGGCATAACAAACAAGGGCTACGCTGCCTTCAACATGATGACCAGCTATTTCGACAAGGCTGCTTCCACACCCACTGGACAGAAGCTCCGTGCTTTCTACGAGCAGGGAAACAAGACTGTCATGGATGTTCACAACGAGGCTAGGCATTTGGCCGACCTTAAGAAGCAGAAGCCTGCCAGCGAGGGCGGTGTCGCTACTGAGAGCAGCGAGAAGCCCGCCGAGGGTAGCAACGAGAAGAGCGGCGAGTCCTACGCTGCCGCTGCTGCCCCCACCTCCTAGATGCGAACACCTTACGTGCTCACGGCGGAGGACTGGAACGACATTTCTTTCGATTCAACGATTCCCACTTGGTTTACAGTCTGTATGAATACTTGCGCATGATACCGATGACGACACGAGCACGGAGTTTGGAATAAGATGGTTTAGCAACCTACGAAAACACAATTCTATCTAGTAACCATTGATCTTGAACCCTGTATCATTGCGTAGTGATGGTGCTCTATTACGATCTTTTCTCGAACAGCAATATAAACAAGCATGCAGAAAACAAAAACACCAAAGCCAATGTTCCTCCTATCCCTCTAGTATCCCCACTCTCCACTATCCAGCAGGCTCTGACTAGCCACAAAGCTGAATCCACCAAAAGGATTGCTGGAAGCCTGGCTCTCAAACATCAAGTCGTCAAACTTCTTCGTCAGAACGGGACTGAGTGGCAGATCGGTGAAGTCCTGGGCAAAGTTCTCTGCCAACTCCGGATCCGTAATGAGTGGCTGGATCGGCGGCTCCAACTCCCTCGCTTCCAACTTCTTCCAATCGATCTTGCGGAAGAACCGGTGTTTCTTGATGTTCGGCAGGTCCTTGGCCATGTTGAAGCCTAGGCGCTTCTTGGGGTCTTTGCGGAGGAGGCGAGTAAGGAGGTCCTTGGCGTCAGCGCTGAGGTAGTACGGCAGTGCGAGTTTCTGCTTTACAATCTTTTCCTGGATCTTGGCGTTGTTGTTACCGGTGAATGGAGGAGCGCCAGTGAGAAGATCGAAGCCGAGTGCGCCCAAGGACCACCAGTCAACTGCCGCGCCGTACTCGTGACCTTGAACAACCTCGGGAGCCATATATTCTACGGTACCGAGGATGGAGCGGCAGGGGCTGTCTTCGTCAAGACTGACTTTGCTGAGGCCGAAGTCGGTAAGGAGCAGGTGGCCCTCCGAGTCTAGGAGGCAGTTCTCGGGCTTGAGGTCACGGTAGATGACGCCGACTGTGCGGTGGAGATGGTCGAGCGCAAGCACCATTTCAGCCATGTAGAAAGCGGCCACGTCCTCGGAGAACATGCGCTCAGCAGCGAGGTGGTGGAACAGCTCGCCGCCTTGGGCATACTCCAGAATGAGGTACAGCTTCTCCTGGTCCTGGAAGGCGTAGTAGAAGTTGACGATGAAGGGGTGTCGGTTCACACTCTCGAGCACGTTGCGCTCCGTCTTGGTCTGCTCGATGAGCTTCTTATGCACGGTGATTGACGCCTTCTTGAACTGCTTTTGCGCGAACAGGCGGCCTGTCGCGCGCTGCCTGACCAGCAAGACAGTGCCATAGCTGCCCTTGCCCAGACACATCAACGGCTCAAAGTCCTCGGCCGTCATCTTGCGCGCCATGCCGCTGTTCAACATGGTCGAAGTCTTGGAGAGCGTGTCGATGCTGAAGTCTTCTGCGTTGAGGTCGATTTCGTAGCTCTCCATCTCCGTACGGTCACTGTCACTTTCGCGGCCAGACATGCTGGTGTTGCTCGACAACTGCGACGTGACCCTGCTCATAGCGACACCCTTTCCTGGGGAATCCTTCATGGGTGAATCGCTCCTTGGGCCTAGGTTCAACGCCTCCAGCTGGGCTTTGAGGTTGCTGATGCCTCCCGCAGTAGACTGGGGTCTGAGCGCTGGGCTGCTGGTGACGCTGGGAAGTCCAGAGCGCACAGGTCCGAAGCGCGGTGTAGTGGCCAGAGAGTAGTCCGACTCTTCCCCACCAGACGTGACTGGAGTGTGAAAGCCCCGGGTGACGCTTGTTGCTTGTAGTCCTGCTTTCAGGCCCTTCTTTTTCTTCTTCTTGTTCTTCTGGACCTTCTTGAACACAGCGTCGAAATCCAATTTGTCTGGTCCCTGCTGCTTGCCTTCGGGGCCGGGCTGCACTGCGCGCTGTGGCATAGGGCTGACGATGTTGATCGGCGGGGTTCCTACGTGGAGGGGCGCTTTGGGCGGGCTCATGTCCATGGGTCCCGAAGCGAACATGTCGTCTTCAGGCATGGCAGGCTCAGGGTTTCGCGGCGCGTTGGCCGGAAGTTGGGCATCGTTCTGGTCGAATGCGAAAACCATGGTAACGGTAGTGAGGGGTAATGCGATAAAGAGTTGTCACTCTCCAAGCTGCGCCCGTATTCTGCTCAAGTCAGCATTTGCGCACGCTTCGGAGAGGAGTTCGCGCACATCCAACGCCGGTCTTGGGCAAACCAATATTACAGTCCGCCGCGAGGATTCACGGCGGAACTCCTACCCCTAGCCGGACCAGCGATGCGAAGGAGGCGTCCGTCTTGTTCAGGCCTGAGCTCAGTGCGGTGTAGGGGAAGAAGGAGCCAACTGCGGTAAGCTGAGCGGTGGGTAGGAAAGCGGTCGCGGCGAAGGAAGCAGAGCCCATAGATGGTTGTAGTAGAATATTGGGAATGGTAATGGTCGAAGCCAGGATTCGGAGCCTGGCAGTAAATCTGTCTCGTGGAAGTGTCGTGGTGTTGGGAGAAGTCGTGTTTGAAGGGGCTTTGGCAGGAAGGAACGCGATCAGCGGGAGAGGCTCAATCGCCAGGTTCTTAATTTGGTGCCTTGGCGGGCTCGCGGTGGCATGTGAATGAGCTTGCGCTTAACTGGTCATCCGCCCCAGATCCACCTCCACACAAACTCGGAGATCCACCCCGTGCTTTCATTTGCATCATATTTGCATGTCTTGCTAATATCATGCGCTTGCGTCGCTGATGCGATCGTGTTGATGTCGTTCGCTGCCACGCGCGCTGGCACTGAAACCGCGATGGCGTCTCATTCGACAAAGACAGCGCGACGCTGATCCAACGCGACTCTCTTCGCGAACGAGTCCACGTGGCAAGGGTATCTATTCGCTGCTGTGAAGTAACCCCGACTATGACTATCGCGAAACAAAGCTACCAACAGTAGCCCTGAGTGAGAGCTAGCGTGTTCCTCCTTTGTCAAACGTGCCTATAGAACAACAAAGCGCGACGCTTGACGAATAGGGGTGGACATGAGACGAAGCAATCTTGAGTGCTATATCTTACGCCCACGGAGGGCCTGTTTCTTCGTGAACTTATCTCGTGTGCTACAGCTTTGAAGCTTTTTTACAAATCGTGTAGTCTATCAAATTATCTTACGCCCACAACTCTGCTTAGTAGTAAGACAGACTAATTCACGGCCCTGCCTCCTGCTGAAATATGCAACTTGTTTATCCGATGGTAAGCGGGTCCGGCTGCTGTGGGGTTGGTGTTCAGAGCAGATTCGCTACGAGGACCGAGCCTAACACAAAATGTGGGTTGTGATTTTTGGGAAATGCACGAGGGTTTCTGAAGCTTGTAGCCTTCTGAACGAATGGAATTCACGAGAATACAGATCCCTCGTTTTCGTGAGGTTATATTGACTTTTGATTCAAAATTTTCATCTTCACCATTACAGCCTGCTTAGCTCAGTGGTAGAGCGCGTCACTAGTAATGACGAGGTCGCCAGGTAAATACCCCCATTCGAATCGCATGTGTTCCGCCGCTGACGTCACAAAGTTCAATTCTGGTAGCAGGCACGTTTAGCTCCCTTGGAAGCCACCTTGCTTTTTGGTTGCCAAACATCCATCGTAGCCAGCTTTTTGTTTCCTTTTGGGAGGTTTCCCGCTCACGAGGCTTCGGGAACATGTGATGGATCGAACCCACGTTCTGTCATCCGATTGAGGCTAGCGCCACACTAGCTCGCGGCCCGTGCGGGAACATCGAAACTTCGGCCCACAAGCGATTGATTGTTCGACAACATATTTCTACCCGTTACAAACAGGCGACTGTGGCATCACGGGACTCGCACTTATGATTCAGCTGCCTTCGCTACGACATTGAACATACCTATTGAATTTCAAGGTGAACAACCTAACAGACACCCGGTGGGCTTCAGAACATGTTTGAAAGCTAGTAGCCTGCAGCTAGATCTATTATCTGTTTTTACAGCTTTCAATGTCATAGTCTTACAGTTTTAGTTCAAGAATCCGGGTAGAGCATTTCCTAACCGGTTCAGTCAACGTGAAAAGCTCGCGAAACAACATCTGTTCCCAAGGTTATTAACTTCTTTTTCCCTCTTCTCGCTGCCGATGACCTGTCCCTAGCGCGACATCAAGCCGAGCAACAGTAATCATGAACTACAGCGGTAAATATTGCACAACTCACGACTAGCCCTTGGAAAATTTAGTTATGCTGACAATACACAGATATCCTCATCTCAACTCTTGTATTGTAGACGTGTAAGCTCAAAGTGCGACTGGCTACCTATTTCCCAGCGATAGTGACTCAATCCTTATCTTCCTCCTCCTCTTCGCCGACCTCGGCCACCACTGGCATCCGTCTTCGTGCCTTCGGCTTGTCCGCCCCCTCATATTCCTCCTCGTCGTCACCGTCGTTCTCGATCACCACTGGCATATGTCTTCGCGCATTCGACTTGTCCGTCTTCTCGCCTTCTTCTTCCTTGTCACCCACCTCGCGGTGGGGACTCTTGGCAGACGGAGGCTTGTCCTTGACAAGATTGACGTTCTTCCTTGCCTCGATCGATACGTTCATCGCTGTTTTCAACTTCTCCCCTCGTTCGATGGGCCAGGTTGCCAGAATGTCTTCACTGGTAGCAAGCAAGACCTCTCTCGCTATCCCCAGCTTGCTGAGATGGGGGTACTTCTCAATGTACTTCCTGGCAAAGCCTCTCAGCTCTATCCTCTCCGTTTGGTTGAAGTCCACCGGATATATCATGGAATCGGAAGGGGGCGAAGGGAAGGATGAACTCCATTTGGCCAAGGCGCGGTTTACTTCGTTCGACAGGACATCCACCTCGGCCATAACTGCTGCCTCGTCTAAACTCGTGTGTTCCGGCTCTTTTTCTGGCACAGCCAACGTATCTCCGGCGTCTCCGCCGTCCACGACGACCGTGAAATGTAAGCAGGCAAGGAATGAGCTGAAGCAGACTGGGGAAGTGACCGGACGTGTGCGAATTGCAGCAGCCAACCGACCAAGATTGTCGAGATAACTGTGCGTTGCGATGATAGAGTCGCGAGCGGAGATGAGAGTGGATATCGGGTCGACCAGCGGCCAAAGTCTGCTCGATAGATCTCCGTTCTCAGGCTTCCGCGCTGCGACAGCGCTCAGCGGACATCCTAAAGCGTCGAGGCAGGTTATTGTGGATGTTGATAGCTGCACCCTATCTGCCACAAAGAGACGCGACAGCATGCTTGACATCATGTCTTGGGTATTGTCGGTGCTCTTGTTGCCAACCGCCTCGCTCTCTCCTGCTTGCTGTGTACGCTTCACGCGCTTCGGTGCCGCTGACTGTGGCGCCGCTGCTGGGCGCTTTGCTGAAGGTGTTGTAGCAGTGTTCGTTACGGGCATCTCGGCGGACTGCAAGGAGGTCATTTAGCGGACGAAGAGTAGATGCAGCGATGCAAGATCATACCCTTAGGAGGTACTCGCGATACCGGATCTTTAGCTCAGGTTTGCTCCCAGTCAGCCGTACCCGGTCCTTGAACCTAGGAATAGTGGCGTTCAACTGAACGAGAAATAGCTTCATGTTGTCCCTGATCGCCAGGGCATCGAAGTCTGCGAGTTTCTCCTTGATGTCATTGCCGCTGCGCTCGAGCGCCTCGTTGATCCCCATATCTTCGAAGTGGAAGCAGGCTAGTGAAGCACTAAGCCAGCAAAGTAATTCCAGACGCGATACGTAATATCTAGGCGGCGCAGCCGGGCATTCGCAAATGCAATTAACAAATGGACGCAACGCGGGTGAGGATCAGTAGAAGCGAAGGAGTGAATGGGCGTGGCGAAAACGACTGTCAGACACGAAGCGGAAGGACAGAGTATATTAAAGGAGGCGGACGAAGATTGACAGAGAAGAAGCGAAGAGGAAGCAGATGCCGCGAGGTGAGATAGATTGTGGTGCGTCGCACCTTCCCAACCCACGCGCCAAGCAAACCTCACCTACCCAAACACTGCACTCACCATTCTTCACCGCCAGTCCTCCGCAGCCTTCGTCCTCGGCTTCTCAGCGTGCCACTCTCCTCATTAACCATCAAGATATGCGCGAGCAAGCGTCTCGAAAGCTTGACGCAGTACTTATTGTCAGCGTCATGTTCTATAAGCGCTATACACTGAAGACCTCCACCCCACACATCCTGTTCGCTCTTTCCAACCAGACCTCCGCAGCCTTGATTCTCACATTCGTAACGCTCACTCTCCTCATCAACCAACGGCATCCGCGCTACTACGCCTCCTAGTCCGACCTCCACAGCCACAACCCTCACCTTCTCAACGCTCGGAGGTATCCGTTCCGCGGACAGCAACTGCGCCACCAAGCACCCATTAGCCCGAAGCAGAGGTCATCATCGGCGTCGTATTCTCCACGCGCTGGATACCAAAGACCTCGATCCCACACATCCTACTCAGTCCATACAAACGAGCAGAACGCGATGTCTCTGCCTCTACCACCTAAGCACCCTTCCGCCAAGATGGCCGCGTAGATGGCTGCACTGAGCAACGCGCAAAAGGAGAAGCTCAAAGTTAGTTGAAACGCTCCCGCTTCTATGACAGCTCGGCTCCCGGTACAATTGCCCAACGAGCGCAAGCTCGCAGTAACTTCCAGGAATATTGCAAGAGTGTCTACGGAATCGAAAAGGAGCCTAAGATGTACAGTCGTGAGACCCTCATCGACCACGTCTGCGGCTTCCTGGAGTGCATGGCGACGGTCTCGGAAGGAGTACTCCATGACAAGGTCAAGGCAAGTTTCATCCAAATCTCCATGGTAAACAGATACTAACACCTCCCAGGTGGGTACATTGTATATGTACAAGTATTCGCTTCGGTTCTGGGTTGATCGATACACGCTCGACTTCGAATCGATTCAGACGGAATACGATTGCCGAGTATTAAGGCATATCCACATGGTAGCCGTGGAGCAAGACTTGCCAACAGGAAGCAGGGAGAAGAACCAGCTAGGCGGGTCCGAGCTCGGATTGATGTACATGGAGGCCATGGCTCTTCAGGAGGGGGTCCTCCAGACAAAGCAACATTACCTCGCGTGGGTCCTTGCCTATCTTACCGGGGCCCGACCCGGCACCTTCACAGTTGGAACCGGCTATCATAAAGGCGCCCCGCTAGGTGGTGCCATGAGCCACACCATGCCCACGCGCGCCGTTTCCCACACATTACGCTGGGCTGACATCAAGTTTGAAAAGTTCGAACAGGAATACTGCTGTATTCTGACGTTCCGCTTCTTGAAAGGAAGCCACGATAAGTACAAACCGGGTAACTTGGACGGGTCAAGGGAGTTCTTTTTCGCGCCGAAGCAAGAACGCCTACATCTCGACCTCAGTGCGCTCTTATTTGGTGAAGGTAAGGCGTGGATGTTCGGGAATCAAACTCATACACTAACATTCCATAGCCTATACCCGAGGGTTATTTGTCGACCCGTTGGACGTTCTCCTCAGCGACACGTCCCTTCGTTTCCCCGCGATCAGATCGGAAGTGGCAACACAGGCTGTGTTCATTGCGGGGAACAGGAAATGTGAGCTTATTCCCAGTCAAGAGATGCGATCCAGTGCACTCAACCGAAAGCTCCAAGAATATTGCTTTTCGGTCGGTATTCTCTGCTATGTGTCTATGTATTCGTTCAGAAGGCAGGCAGCTCAGGAAGCAAAGAGGAACCACTCTACCGAGGACGCTATGGCGCTGCTCGACCACGCCCCAAACAACCCAAACACCATGCGCCACTACGACCAGCACGGATTTGACCGACGAGATGTCACTTCGTTCAGACTGGGGGGGGGGGGGGGAATGCCGCACCCACGGACTC